AACTCATAGTCACAAATGAGAAGAAAGACAAATAATAAGTTGGATATTGGAATGAGAATTCATAATAAATAATTATGTATAGAATTAAATATTATTTGTAACAAATAATTATGTCACTCACAAGGCATAAAAATATTTAACGAAAATTTGTACAATAATTGATTATGACTAAAATAAGTATTTTTTTGTAACAAATAATTATGATATTGTTTGAATGATAAATAATACACAGAAGTTAACAAATTTATTTCATGGTCATATAAGTAGTTGAAGCATTTATTTAGCCAAGAGAAATTGGAGTGCAAATTCTAATACAATTATGAATACAAATTATTTATTCATATGTAACAAATACTTTTTTATTGATAAATCATGCATAGAAATTGATAAAAATTTATTTCAATGTAATAAATGTAGTTTTTGATGAAAATTTTACATAAAAGTTGGTAAAATTTATTTCTATTAATTAATATAATTTTGGAGGGAAAATTTCAGCTGCTTCAGTTTAATATATACTAGTACGTTACCCGCGCGTTGCGCGGCTTAATATTAAAAATAATGTGAATGAATGATAATTTAATAGAAAAATATTTTAAAAAACATCTATTGATATGACGTAGACTAAATTTTTTACAAATCCAGTAAATATACTTCCACAAATATAACATTAATATAGTATTAATAGTAGATGAGTTGTGGTCATTATCACCTACTGTAATAACAATAGAAAACATGGATTCGTGACTATAGAAACAATAACAACGTATAATTGTTGTAACCAAAAAATACAATATATTTTTTTTCTTAAAATTTTAAAAATTAAATTCATAAGCTAACAAAAAAATGTGATGTACTATGAAAAAAAATTATTTGTCACATTAATGACACTCCTCCAAAATTTTTCATAAAAATGTCTACGTGATAACATAATTCCATAGGTACAAAACAATAAAGTCATAATTACTATTCTACAAATAAAGTAATATATTAATAATTAAAGTTAACATGTACGAAGATAAGTAAATTAAAATTTATAAATATAAATTAGATACTTAAGAAAAAAATAAAAATGACTTCTATCTGCATGTATCTAATTTTAAATTAGGTCCACATATTTTTCACCTTTCTATTAATAAAATAAATATCAACATTTCAATTTTGTGCAAAATAAGTGCGATGGTGATTAGAGAATGACGTGGAAGATTGATCATTTTTCGTAAAGTTATAAATAGACCGAGTAATTGCACAAATCAATGGGAATTACAATCCAATGTAATTTTTAGAAATGCACATTGACAAAATTTTTGTAAAGTAATAAGAAAAAGACATTTAAATTATATTATATAATATTAAGAAAAACATTTTTGTGAAATTAACATTGTTATAGATGATAAGGAAAAAGTTGTTAATGCATTATAATAAGTTCTATTTAACTTTATCTACTACAACATTCAGTTGCAATAATATGCTTCTATTAAGAAAATTAAACGGTAACTGACACATTATGTTATTTTTATTTATAAACAACATAATTGTGTATTTATTAAAAAAAATAAGGGAGGTCAATCACCAACTTTTACATAATCTCAAATTTAAGATCAAATAAAATAAATGAAACAAATAATTATTGGATCAAAATATTCAATCGATAGGATCATAGTCAAAACTACATTATTACTTTCTTTCTGTTATCATTTTCTAAATTTTTTCATATCCCAATATTCTTATATTGCTTACCCATAAATGAAACTAAATTAGATGCTATGTCCGAACACTAAATCAATTATATTTATGTTTTATACAAACTATGAAAATAAATGTTCACCTCATTGTACAAAATACAAATTTATGTCTGTACTAATCAAGTATTTTTATGTTGTACACAAACTATCAAAATAAATGTTCACCTCATTGTACAAAATAAAAATTTATGTTTATACATATTGAATTATTTTTTATTATATACTTTAGAGTTGTAATTTTTATTTTCATAATATTATATTAAAAAAATAATCAAGATGATCACCGTCAATGTTAGATCATTAGCTAAAACTTATTTTTCATGAAATTTAAGATAATTATAATTAACTTATTATTTAAAAATACAAAATTATTTTCAAATATCAATAATAAAACATTTAATAATAATAATAATATATAAGACTAAAACTAAAAAGTAAAACTGACAATTGTGATATATGATGAAGAAAAAATTGTTGTTGCATTCGTAGTAAGTTGTAGGACTTTATATGTCGCAATGTTTCGATAAAGATTATACATTATCGTCATTCTTAAGCAAACACTATACGATATACAAATAAAACATTAACAATGAAATTAACTTGTTATGCCTCAGAAATTATAGTTGTATGATTTTGGACCAATAAAAAAAATTATGATGGCGAAAACTTTATGCGCGCATGTGTTTAAGTGGACTCTTCAATATTTTCATAAATAAAACAAATTATACCAACTAAAAATAATAAAATACCAAAAATAACATGAAAATACCTAATATATAGTTGAAAATTCGTTGGAGAAATGAACGATGTATATGAATTTTTCTTTTCAGCCTTCACAATCAAATCCATGAGTTCTCTCTTTGAAATGATGTCATATCTCTTTTTTTGTACGCTATCATTTGTGGATTTTGTTTTCTTTTTACAATATCAGTTTTGAAATACTAGTCTATTGTTTATCTATAAAATACAGTCAATTTCGTGACATTTTCAAATTTTAAGATGTCTTATTTTTCTTTTCTTTTGTTTTCCTTGTTTTCATATTCATGATTTTAGTAAAAGAAACTTCAATCCATATAGTTCTTGAAGTTTCTTTACCCAAGTAAAGTCTATTCAACATTTTTGAGATCTATTTTATATGGAAATGAAGGGTCATCCCCAAAAACTATAGATGATATTTAAAAAAAATATATATACATTTTTTAGTTGAATAAATTGTATTATTTATGATAAATATAACTTCATTATGTTTTACCTCCCTCTATTTGTATTGCATTTGTTATTTTAAAAAATATAATATAAAATAAAATTAACAAAAGTATGAAATTTAGAAGTCTAAGCTCGCATTTTTGTTTAAAAAGAATGATACGTTGACTTGACTAAACCTTACTCCAGCTCACATAAGAGTTTGTGAATGATTAGACTTTTTATAATTTAAATTAAAAAATATTGTTTAGGAATGAGGTACTCTATACAAATAATTTAATGGTTACTTGTAATTTTTTTAAAATTACATAGAGGTTAAAATAATATAATATTACATTAATAAGATGATTACATATTATATTAACGTGTACGAAAATTCCATCATATTAGAGTATACTTGTCAAACGAGACATGGTGTTATTATTAGATATTTATATGTAAACATTGAACATGTGTATGTTAAAATAAACGTCATAAAATTTTAAATTGACATATCGAGTCTAAAAATTTATCTATATATATGCAATATAGATACCAAATTAAAAACTATAAAAATATTTATTTATTATATTACATGCAGATATTGTATTAATTATGATTTTTTCTATTTTACCTTGAAATATTTCGAATATAACCGAAAAAATTAATATTGTGTTTGATGTTCAAAAATAAATAAATATGTATAAAAAAATAAATGATTTTAAATAAAAAATTTACTTTAAAATTTATTTTAATGATTAATTAAATGAGATTGATAACTTATTTTTATAAGAAAAAAATATAATATATAAGGAAAGGAACTCATACTCACAAATGGGAAGAGAGACAAATAATAAGTGGGATATTGGAATGATAATTCATAATAAATAATTATGTATAGTATTAAATATTATTTGTAACAAATAATTATGTCACTCACAAAGCATAAAAATATTTAACGGAAATTTGTACAATAATTGATTATGACTAAAATAAGTATTTATTTGTAACAAATAATTATGATATTGTTTGAATGGTAAATAATACATAGAAATTAACAAAATATATTTCATGGTCATATAAGTAGTTGAAACATTTATTTAGCCAAGAGAAACTGGAGTGCAAATTCCAATACACTTATGAATACAAATTAATTATTCATATGTAACAAATATTTTTTTATTGATTAATCATGCATACACTACAAAAAAATTGTTATATTCCAACGGAAAATCCTATGGTAATATATTCCAATGGAAATTCCAACGGATATTCCAATTGTATAGCTTCCGTTTGAATCATTCCAACGGAAATTCCAACGAAAATATTCCGTTGGAATGTATTTTTCATTAGAATTTTAGATGGAATTTGGTGATTCCAACGGCTATATTTCCAACAGTTTTTGACCGTAGGAATTTTCGTTGGAAATTTTATTTCCACCACCGTTGGAATCGTCAAAATCCAACGGAACTTCCAATGAAAAACTCATTCCAACGGAATATTTTTGTAGGAATTTCCGTTGAAATAATTCCAATGGAAATAATAACATTGAAATATCCATTGGAATTGTCGTTGGAATTCTATTGAAACATATTTCCGTTGGAATTCTATAGATATAGATTTTTTCTGCTCTTTATTTGTTTTTTATCGTGTGTGATCGTTTCAACCTACTGCTTGATCCTTGTGCTTCAATTTTACTTTTGTAACACAATGCTACATGGACATCATAAGATTGGATGGTTCCTTTTTTAACAATTGTTCTGATCAAACTTCATTCGATGGAAATCATAAGGCTGAATGGTTCTTTTTTAGTGACTACATTGTGTTCCGACCAAACTTCTGTAATGCAATGTTATATGAAATCTATGAAATCCATGGAGATCTTGAGTTATCTCCTATCTCCATCTGATCAATTTTCTTTCTTCTGTTTAGCCCAAGTTATCGATGCGAAATGACATGTCACATGAGTTTGTAATATTCATTTATAAATTAAAATATTGCATCTTCTGAAAATAATAAAAATAAAATAAAAGTATAAATCTCAAACAATTTCCTTCTATGTCAAGTCGACGAGCAATACTTACAAAGACAAAAGGAGATAGAGAAGCTTCAGTTTATTCTGTTCCCATATGAAAAAACCCTTCTTTGTAATTATTCATTTATAAATTAAAATATTGTATCTTTTGAAAATAATAAAAGTAAAAATACAAGTAAAAATAAAAATACGCAAATAGTTTTATCAATCTCAACCAATTTCCTTCTATGTCTAGTCGACAAGCAATACTTACAAAGACAAAAGGAGAAACAGAAACTTCCCATATGAAACCCCCTCTCATGTATAGAGATCTATCTGCTGGTATATGGCTCCCTTAGCTTATGTGAGGAAAACGAGAACAAATAGAATAATAAACAAAACGAGTAAGAACAAGATCATCATAAGTTGACCCTTGGCACTAGCCTTCTTCATAACCATAGCAACCTTTTTCTGCAAAACAAGAATATGAAATAGCATAAAATATTACTAACTACCATGAATCCGAGCAATTCACTTAAAAAGCAGCTAAATCATCAAATCCTTAATAGTTGGTTCCAAATCACGTTCTTTCCTAATGAAGCAGTAGTAGAAAGTACTCAAACTAACAAAATAAAAGATTAAAATATTTCACCTGAACAAAATCAAGACGATTTGACGTGCTGTCCATCTCCATGCCCAGCTCATCTACAATTTTTTCCTGAAATGAATTATTTGAGATTTATTACGTTTCCAGTAAGACTATATAGGTTAACATGTACTCACATGTACTGGAATTGAATAGACATAAGTAAACTCAGCAAACTAAAGCAAAAAAGAAAAAAACATATGTGAAATGAATTAATAATCACACGGGTTTAGACACATTTACCTGAGCAAGAAGTTCATCATGTATTGTAAGCCCGACACCTCCAATTCTTTGCACACTGGCACTGAGTTCATCGAGTTCTTCATCCTGTTGCCTGCATGGAGAAACTCCAATCACAACCAAGAAACAAAAAATTGAAAGACAACATAAATTCAACTGAAAATACAGTTCCTTATTTACCTAGTTCAAATTCATTCCACTTTTTTATTTTTTCATTATTTTCCAGATACTTAAGTATAAGGGTGTCTGAATATGAAGAATCTGGAGGTCGCCAAATCTCAATTGAGGCTAATAATCAAAACTTCAAGAATATAACTGGGTTAGAGATAAACACTGACAATTATTCTTAGCTTCCTAGAAGTATAATCAGCCCCCAATCATTCTTGAGTTTCACTTGAGGACAATTTTAGTTTGGAAGTCATAACATAATAAGTAAAAAGTGGAAGTAATGCCTTGATGGGCCAATGGAATAATTTTAACTGAAATAAATGGGATAGTGATATAGTTATAAAATAAGATTATATATAGAGCTTGGAACAGATAATATTTTTGAAATGTAATTTTAGTGGAGGATGAGAACATAATGTGTAAATGGTTAAAAATACATGGAACACTATAAAATGCAAAAATACATCAAAGGCCTCAGGATTTAAACTGCATTGCCAGTAGAGAATCTAAAAGCGTGAATCTACCTGAGTGACTCATGTGGCAATTCTTCAACAATACCCACATGCTATTTAACTGAATAACATGGTTTTGACTCATCCCATTGTAACCCAACAAAACATGAGTATGATCAGCGAGTAGCTCTATGCATTGGATTGTGCAATTGGGAACCTAATTTTCTAGGTCCGAAACGAGTACAATGTATAAAGTTAAAAAGAGTATTTACTATAGAGTAATGAAGTGAACAAAAGAAAACCAATTGCATGTGAGTATATTCATCTCTATTAAGTAAAATATCTATTATATAATACAGAGCTTCACAGAAATGTAGACAATCCAGCCTCCACTGATAATAAGCATCTTTGTCCATAATTATAACTCATTAGGTAAACAAACAAACATATCACTTCAAATTAGAAAATCAGTGCAGAGAGAGAGAGAGAGAGAGTTGAGAGGCGCACTCCTTATGGAATAATGTAATTCTGTTTTACGTAATTTACAGTGAAATACCAAATACAGAGTAAAAAACAAAATATATCTCTTGTATGAATTTATACGCAAACCCTTATAAGGGTTTCGCGTAGCGAGAGGTAATTTCTAAATGGCTCGGTTTTCAATTCTAAATGGAACAGAATAAAGTTGGGAGCCATAGGGCCACAGTATTTAACCACCAAATTCAGGATAGAAGATGTACAAGGGCATGTTATTGCAACTAATGGTAGAAATTATGAATGATACTCGTGGAAGCTTTTGATTACAAAACCGCAAAAAGAGATCTTCAACCTAAACCATTTATAAAAATTAGAAGCACAAATGTTAAAAATGTATAAGATCTTAATATTAGCAGGTATTGAGGAAAATACTAAGTTAAACTGTGGATGGAAAACACCATGTATTCATCACACTTACCACATAAAACGAGGAGGCACATACGTTCGAACTACAGCGACATTAACTAAATAACTATGTATGGCATTCCAATCTTCAATATGAACTTACGGGTTCAGATAAAACAAAGGAAAAAAAAAAAAAAAAAGCTCAAACAAAGATTTAAAAAACAATAATACGCACCTTATTAGAAGTAACTGCCGGTCAGATTCCGATGATATGAAATCATCATTATCTTGCGCGCGGTACTGATTTGATTGATTAGGTTGATGAGAATTTGGAAGCCTCATTAGTTCACGATGCATTCCATTGAAATTCGAGGTGCTTGTTCCATTCAACTCCTGCCCATTTACGACTGATTTCTTCACATTTTTCACCTGTTGGTCAAAAAGTAACAAAATGATCAATCATTTAAACTATGATTAGGCCTGTCAAGATTTCACAACTATGATAACAGGTAAAAGTATCGAAATTATTTCACAGGGTTACAAATTCGAGTAACCAATCATGTAAATAAGGCAGCTGATACCTGATCACGAGCATTGCTAGTCCATCTCCTTCTTTTATCAAGCTCCACCTCGTCAATACCATACAATGCAGGATCCCATGATGCTACAGAAATCGCCTTGTCCAACTCATCTACCTTTCATTCAGAAAAGCAACATTCAAAATATAAATAAAATCTATAGACACTGTTTATCAATTAATTGAAGCAATTGAGACGTTTATGCCAACGACAACAAAGTAGAAGATAACAGTTATTGTCAAAGCACTAGTATAAATGTAACCAGAATGATCAAGGATAACAGGGAAGAGATAGTACTAAAAGACTTTAATGTCAGGTTAATAGGTTACGACTGAAAATCTGTTAAATTTGTTTCAACTTTCATGAATTCCACACAATATTTCAGAGACCATCAATGAGTCATTTTGTAAGAAATGCATGTAATCAATTTGTGAACAAGAAAAGTACCTCTCGGAAAAGATTTTATTTGTAAATTCACACATACCTGCCATTCAATGCTCTCACATGCGGCAACGAGCTCCTTAGTAAGCTTCAGTTGCTCCCCACTGTTTGAAGGCATCCGTTCCCATTGATGAAAAGTGGAGAGCAACTTATCAATCTAAGCAAGTAATGATTTTTTTTTATTTAGACTACACTCCAAGACTCCAACCACTCATAAATGACATAACTCTATGTCTATTCAAATCTTATCCAAGAGTTGGGTGTTTAGTCCAGATCCCACAGAGGACGAGGAAAGGGTATTCAAGATAGATATTTGTTCCTATAGAAGTAGCAAGTTATGAACCACTGCATACTCAAATATATTTCAAATCAATTTTAAATTGGATGGTGCACAAAATAAAAAATATGGCCCACAAGCAAAAACATACAAGGTACTCTGAGGAAAAAGACACCAATATAAATTTCGAGTTTAAGAAAAAAGGCCTCTTGCTCTGGAAAATTTTGATAAACGGGCATATAATAAATCCTTATATTCTGATTGCAAAGTCCCAAAAATAGAACTCATACTTGTATATCAAAATGCTTCAAACCCAAAAAAGCTTATGTACAGAGAAAGGAAAAGCTGGAGTCGGACTGATATCTAAGAAATCAAAACCTCAAAAAAAAAAAAATAAAAAAAAAAAATGCACTTACAGAATCTTGTATCTCCTCTTTCACAATGTAAAATGGGTCCTGGGCTGATGACATAGTTATACCAAAGTGATATGCGCTGCCACCTGCAAAAGCACATAGAACATTAGATCTACGGCTGAAGCATAAACAGATCAAATCATACATCTATATATATGCGTTTGAACAGTGCACAGTACCTATTTGATGAATTGCTGGGGTTTGTAGTTGTTCTGATAATCGACGAGACTCGAACACAAAGACACCAACCGGATCGGTCTAGGCTGCCTATTTGGGTGGAGAGTCCACCTACTTGGTGGAATGGGTATTGCACTTTGGTAATGAGGTAGAAGATTTTATTTATTTATTTATTTATTTATCTCATCGAAATCAAAAATAAAATAAAATCAGAAACAAATCCTACTCATTTCATTTTTTTTTTTTATTTATTTATCTCATCGAAATCAAAAATAAAATAAAATCAGAAACAAATCCTATTCATTTCAATCTCACCTTTTTTTTATATAATTTAACTAATACAATCTTTATCTTTACTATATTATATTATATTATTATTATTATACTATTATAAGTTATATTACTATATTATATATTATTATGCTATAATAAAAGAATGCATGACTATATAAAAAAATGCATGGACTAAAAGTCCTTATTTTTATATTATTTTTAATGACAAAACTGTAATAACTATTAGGCATATCAATTAATTGTAATCACAATTAAATATCTCAATAAAATAGAATTCTAACAACAACAAAACTCTTTTGAAAATTAAATCTAAACAAAAAATAAATTTAAATAGGTAAACAAAATATTAACTTATTAATAATAAAAAAAATAATAAATGAGATGCAAACTATTTCAATAAGATTGAATTGCATTAAATTTTATTTCTAAATAGTATGTGGACAAATAAAAAAGTAGGGGAAGTATTATCCCCAATTTCACAACATACAATAGTAAGTATAAAGTATTATATTATATATTTGATATAATTCTAAATGTATATTATTTTCATATTACTAATTACATAACTACATGTCATAATAAACAAAGTTGATACAATATCAATCAATCAATCAACAAGCCGTTCAAATCACACTAAGTGAGGTCAGCTATATGGATCACATGTCGACATCGTGCTCGATCGAAGCACATTTCCTCATTCAAATTTAAATATTTTAAACTATTTTTTATTGTCTTTTTTCAAGTTCTCTTCGGTCTACCCTCCCACTTTTAATTTCCGTTCTTAATTCTAATATTTCTACCCTTCTCACCGATGCCTCGAAGTATCTCCTACGCACATAGTCAAATCATCTTAATCGATGTTCTCTCATTTTCTCCTCTATGGGTGTTAGCCCAACTTTATTTCTATTCTTATCTAACTTAGTATGTTCACACATCAATCTCCAGATTCTCATTTCTGCCACTCGCACTTTTGTATCATTTTCATATTTAGTAGTCCAACACTCGGATCCATAAAGCATCGTCGGTCGAATGGTCGTTCGATATAACTTGCCTTTCAAACTCACTGGTACTTTACGATCACAAAGTATCAACGACGCACTCCTTCACTTATTCCAACCCGATTGAATTCTATGCGTTACATCCTTATCTATGTTGCCATTATCTTCTAGAATGGATCATAAACATTTAATATTTTTAGATGTGTTCAATTCGTATTCCCCAATTTTAACTTTTACCCCATTATTACTCGTTTGCTTAATAAAATTACACTCTATATATTCCGTTTTGGCCCTACTTATTTTGAACCCCTTTGTTTCAAGTGCATCTCTCTAAGTTTCTAACTTAGCATTTACCTCCTCTCTCGTCTCATCTACTAACAGTATATCATCCGCAAACAACATGCAATCGGTAATTGCAAATGCTTCGTAAGTTCATCAATTAATAATGCAACGAGATACAGACTCAACGCCAAACTTTGATGCAAGCCAATAGTGATTGAGAATTCACTCGATATCCTTACCGGTGTCCTAACACAAGCTCACTATTATACATATCTTTTATGGTTTCTATATAACCATCTCGCATCCATCTCTTTTCTAACACTCTGCACATTATACCTTTATTAAAACTATCATAAGCCTTTTCAAGGTCAATAAAGACCATATGCAAATTTTATTTTTTCTCATTAAAATGTTCACAAAGTCTCCAATACATGAATCAATTCCATTGTTGATCTTCCAGGCATAAAGCCAAATTGGTTTTCCATTATATTTGTTTCTTGTCTTAATCTAGTTTCTATTACTCCCTGTCTCTCTCCTATAACTTTATTGTGTGGCACATTAGTTTTATGCCCCTATAGTTTGCACAATTTTGAATATCTCCTTTAATTTAAATAAATATATTAAATGTACTTTTCCTCCATTGATTTGATATTTTTTTACTCTTCATGATTATGTTAACAAGTTCGTAAGCCATTCAATTTCAAATTTACCAAGGCATCTCCATGCCTTTATTGGAATATAATCCAGACCTACGACTTTGCCATTTTTCATTTTTTGCATTGCTTTCTCTATTTCTTTGGTTTAAATTTTTCTATAGTATGTGAATTTTTTGTATTTCTCACTTTCCTCTAAATTCCCTAGCGATACTTCCTTATTATCTACTTCGTTAAATAGTTTATGAAAATAAGCGTTCCACCGATCCTTTATTATTTTATCATCAACTAATATCTCTCTATTTTCATCTTTTATGCATTTAATATCCGTTAAGTCGTTTGTCTTCTTTTTCCTTTGCTTTGCAATTTTATAGATGTCATTTTGTAACACTCCGCCTACTTACTACTGGACTTATGAAAATCAGAGTAAAATTTTTCTTTTTTTTTCTTCGAAAACGCATACTTTTTTTTCGAGAACACTTTAACTTACTCGTGGGATGCTACCTTTCTTACTTACTTACTTAGTTACTTACTTACTGTTCTCTTTCTTTACTTAGACAAATAACCTACATGCATGCAAACTAACATATAATCCATGGCCGGGATAAAGTACAACGAAAGCTGGAATTACTGGAATTAAACATGAAAGTCTACTGTCTCATGGTCTGATAAAGCGAAAGCTAATCATAGTTCAAAACATGCTCACAACACACACGGTTTACAAAACATGTTCAAACATCAGAAGGCATCATAATTGTCTTCAACAGATAAGTACTAGCTTAATACCACCCCCACCAAGCTTGCTCACGCGCCATGCTGGATTCCGTCACCTAAAAAAAATAGAGAGTGGGGGCATGAGCATAAAGTCCACGTGCTCTGCAAAAACCAGTACCAATGTACACTAAACCATAATAACATATCATGACATCAGCATATATATAAATAAATTGTACTGCAGACTCCGGACTCTTCTAGTACTCATGTGCACACATTCTAGGGGTTGTCTCCCACAGAAGCCTAGGGAGGGAAAGCTTTCCGCCAACCAGGCGATCAACCAAGGGCGGGAAAACCTTCCGCCAACCAGGTCATAACTAATCAGACCTAGAACGGGATCACTCAACCATATATGTCACAATCTACTTACACACATACCTCAAACAGGATAAGCGATTATAGGCAATGTAACACCCAGTACGAGGTCCCCACCTGTTAGGCTGATAACGCAAGTGCTGGAAAGGATGCTCGTAGCTGGCGGAGGCTCGACTCTCCTCAAGCTACAAAAATATTAAGCAAATATTTCTAAGTATTTTTCTTAACTTATAATTCTTGCTCTTTACTTTCTTAATTTTTATTAGTTGTTTTAGTTAATAATTCTTCATTTCTTCTTTACTTTTATGTTCTTACTTAGTTTGGTTGCTCGTTCAGCTTAATTTATTCTTCATCTTATTTTTCTTAACTGCTTAGCGAGAATAATTTTCATTAGTGAGCAAAGTTAATTAATTTCTATCTTGAGTTGTCTAGGGTTCTCGGATAACTTTTTTGAGTCCGTAACTATCTTTCTGGCTTAACTTGATTTGACTTAGTTCGGGAAAAATACTTTAAGTCTCGGCTCATGCTCGAACCGAAGATCTCGAACTGCCCGGAAACTCGAACCGGACCGGTTCGGTGAATCGGCCGGTCACTTGTTGGTTCAGTGCAGCCCGACTCGGCCACACAGGGTCAGCTTGGCACGACAGTGCTCGACACGCGCGCAGGCGCGGCCTAGCCAAAGCACAGACGTTGTAGGGTGTGTCACGGGTCACTGGCGCAGGGGCGCGCTCGGATCGTGACTGGCAGGAAGTGCCGCGGGTCACTGACACATGGGCGTCCTGGACCGCGGCTGACCGACTTGCAGGTGCGTGCGGGGGCGGAGCAGGACTCANCGACGGCAAGCAGACAGGGGCGCGCTAGGTTGCGCGCTGCGGATGGAACGAGTACGCACGCGCTGCTGGGCGCTCGGTGATGCTACTGCGCTCCACGAGGTGCACTGGACCTCGCAACACGCGCGCGACTGGGCGCGCGCTGGGGCGTGGTGATGAAGATCGTGTATCTCAATACTCGGTTTTGCCTTAATGGATACAAAGTCCACCTCCCTCTCGGCGATAGGTTGCTTCAAATGATACAATGACCGCCTCCTTCTCGGAGAATATATGACGAATTACGCGATGAAACGCCCTTTTCGACACAAGGATTTTGTACTAACACTCAAAAGAATTCTAACACAAGAGATTAGTGACCAATGGTCTGGATTTTTTATTAATTCATTGTTTCATAAAAAAAGATGAGTACATAGCCTTATTTATAGAAGAGAAATACTAAGCATATGAGAAATAAAATACTAATCCTATAAGAATTAGAAATCTAAGCCTAAGTAAAAAATATATATCTAGAATCCTAATAATTACCAACTAATTAAAATTCTAATACTAACCAAACTAACGGCTAACCTAAACTAATAAATTCTAAACTAATAAAATATCTATCACTAAACTACAAAAAAATTGCACTACAAAAATCTATGGAGTCATCCGATAATTTTTTTATGGAGTCATCCATCACTTAATGTATTGACATTTGTCTAAATTGTATTTATTGTAAGACACGTGTCAATAGACTCTTGGTGAATAAGTGTGGATGGCTCCATAAGTCGAGCAATCCGATGACTTCATAACAAAATCGAAGTAAACTAACTCTCGGCACTATACTAACATAAATAAACATCCTATACTAACTCAATATTCTAACAGCTAATCTAACTCGACTAACTAAATAAATAATCTAACAATCCTAACATTTAACTAAGTATTTCATGATTTTAGGAATTTAAACCTTATTTTTCTCTCGCATGCATTTTCATATACAAATTTCAAGCATAATTTAGCATAAATTCTTTAT